GGGCCCGGGGTGTCGCCGCGCGCTGACGCGGTGTCGCCGCGCGCTGACGCGCTGTCGCCTCCCCAGGTGCGCGTGGAGTTCATGGACGACACGAGCCGCTCCATCATCCGCAACGTGAAGGGGCCCGTGCGCGAGGGCGACGTCCTGACGCTGCTCGAGTCGGAGCGCGAGGCCCGGCGGCTGCGCTAGGCTGGCGCCGAGGGAGCCCCAGGTAGCCCCAAACGCCCCTTCTCGCTTCTGCCATTTTCAGGCACTGCAGTTGGCAGCTCCCTCATCAAAACAGTCTCTGCTGTTGCCTTTCCAGGTGGTGGAAACCTTCCTGCATTCCCTCAGAGCCGCTCGTGGACACCTGCGCTGCCAGACATGGGTCACTGAAGATGAGGATGGCGCTTTGAGTTAATACAATAAAGTGTTTTCTCTTTTTTCCCCCCCTTTCCTGTCCTGTTTTGTCTAGGTGTCACTGGGTGTGTGAATATCCTAGCTTGTCTCGGTGCTCATGCAGTTGCCTCTAATAATTGCTTTCAGCAGAAGGACAGAAGCCCAATCTGCTTATTACAGGGTTTGTATTTAACCTTTCTGGATAAAATGCCCTTACCTTGGTGTTACTGTGGTTTTGCATTTTTCTATTCATCTGTCTTTCACAGCAAACATAACTAGCTTTATCTTGAGTACACTGACCTTAGTAATGATCTTCCTGATAGATGCTTTCCTCTCTATAACCACTGAAGTGGCACTGTTAAATGTCATGGACCTTCTTGGGATTTCACTCTTTCTCAAGCCAAGCTTTGGCTGCTTCTGTTTTTCTGTGGTCAGCAAACTACTCTGTGTCTTGCTATAAATAAAACAACTCGTAGCCTCTCCTGGCGGTCACCCCTAAATAGGGAGTGTTTTCAGCCCTTGGAGGAGCTCGTAAATCCCTGTTCTTTATTTTTGACCTTCCTTTCTGATCCAACAGCGGCTGGAAATGTTTGTTGTTTCAGGCTGTTTTGAAGGTAAAGATGAGACTGAAAACTGCTGGGCACAGAGAGGAGCTGCCTCTGTATTTGTCACTATGGCAGAACTCGTGTTTCTGCCAGTTGGATGGTGCTGGTTTGTGATCCGGTGGGACTGAGCTAGATTTGGGGCTCTTCATCCTGCAGTCTTGGCCTGGTCTCTATTGACAGAGTGTTCCTCCTCCCTGAACAGGTTTTATTTAACTAAGACATTTTACCAGTGGCCAGAGTGACTGAAATATCTTAAAAGTTGAGAATGGTGCCTCTGGAAGAGGGGCTCAAATCGCCAAACTTAGGTGGTGCCCTGGGTGACCCTGCGTGTGCAGGGGGTTGGGCTAGATGATCCCTGGAGGTCCCGTCCAGCCTTAAGAATTCTATGATAGCGATAATTGTTTTTCTTTAAGAGCATTTATGTTTCCTCCCTTTTTGATGGCATTTGTGCTGTGCAGTCTTAGATGGATTTTGTTGTCTGGAGCCAGCCCTTGTCTAGCGAGTGGTGCTGTCCCTTGACCCATTTTTGTTTCCTTTCTTTTCCCCCTTTGAGGGGGAATCTGTGTTCTTAGGGTTCCTCTGAAGCAGGGAATTATCTGCAGGTGTAGAGAGCACCAGGCCAGTGATTGATCCAAGCAGCTGAGTCAGTGTGTGCCAGGTGAGGACCTGGCAACATCCCTGCTCCCACTCGGACCATTGCAGTGACACCTGCTCGCAGCAAAAACTGTGCCCAGGCTGTCCCGTTGCCCCAGCATGAGCGAGACGGGAGGCTCCTGCCCACCGCTGTGTTGTAACAGTTGGAAACTTTGCTTTAAATTTTATTTGGATCATAAAAATAAACATCAGTATTAAAATAATCAGTAAACGGGTGAAACCAAAGCAGTGAATATGAATTACCTACAGAGCAGTATACTAGGGAGCCGCTGTGAGCATCTTACACTAATTTCAGCGCAAAGCTGGAACTGGCCCATGGCAAGAACAGGGTGTTGCTCAGAAGGAGTTTGTTGAGGAGCGTTTTCCAGCGGTGGCAGAGAGGAAGAGGAGCCAAGGAGCAGAAATAGGGGCTGGGAGCAGAAAAAATAGCTGGAAATCCATGTTCCTTTGCAAAGGGTTGAGAGCAGAGCTGGCTTCACATGCAAAAGCCTTTCCTTGGGCAGTCCTAGTCCTCACCCTGTGTTCCCACCCGCCTTGCTGCACGCACATGCTCCTACCTACGCGTCCCTTTTCACTAGGCTTGGTCCGAACTCTCATATCTCTTTCCCACCTTTATCCCAGAGCTGTCGTCAGCCCCTCTCCTCCCCTTTGAGCAGGACAGGGGACAGAAGGGGACTTGCTGGCTCTCGTCTTCACAGTAGTTAAGAGTTTAGAATAAGCAGTGTTGACAGGGCAACCTCTCTGCCTCAGAGCAGGTCCCTGCTCCCAGTGTTTGGGCTCCCCCCCAGCAGCCAGGTTTGCTCCTGATGAGCAAAGCAAGACACCGATTTGATGCTGAGCTGTGTTTTTCACTTAGCAATATATATTTTGTGTGTGTGAACATGTTAGGGAAAATTCAGATGTCAGCTGGGGAAGGAAATGTCAGAGAAAAAGGCAGTATTTGAGTTTGGGAATGCTCGCAGCGTGTTCTAAGGCAGCGTTAAGTCAGCGCTCGTGTTCCTTCTGCGGTCAATATGCTGGGCTTTGCCTTCCAGCACTGGGCAGCAGGTCCAGGAGCCAGCCAGGTTCCTTGCAAGCTGAAAATCCAGTGTGATCTTGCACTTTTCTTCCTTAGCAAAAATGCTTAGGTTGGCTTTTTCCTCCTGACTTTAGCTGGGAGGTTCCAGGTTCCACCTCCCATTGTAAAACCGCTGAAACTTGTAAGTTTTCAATCTCTTTTGAGGGAAGAAAAGACCAAAGCGTGTTGTGGTCAGCCCGTGGTCCTGGTCCTTTCCTGGCTGCTGTGCCGGTGCCATCCCCCTTGCAGTCCTGCTGCCACCTTTGCTCTGTCTGTCTTCGGGAGTTCTAGTGGCTTTCAGAGGGCTCCGAGCTGGCACAGGGATTGTGACTGGATGATGGGGGACCAGGAGGGGACAGGGCTGGCTTCAGCTCGCTGCCTGTCCTCCCCCAGGCTCACTCGTCATTTGTCTTCTGTCGCTTTGCAGAAGGAGGTGGCCGAGTCCGGGCTGCTCCCTGCAAATTGAGTGAGCCCAAGGGCTGATGCCTGCTCTGACAGGAGAATAAAAACGTCTGCAGCCTCGGAGTGATGCAGCACGCAGGAGTGGGACATAAATTACAGCCCAGCGCTGGTGACAGCCCTCTGGGCACACAGCTGGATCTGCAGGTTGCTCTAATTGGGTTTCTTGGGGCTCCCAGGGCTCTTGGTGCTTGTTGGCGACGTCCCCTGCTGCAGAGAGAGGAGACGGTCACTCGGCATCCCTAGTGCTCCCGCGGCTGCTCCGTGCCCAGGGCAGGGAAGCGGGGGCTCCGCGGTACTCACGGGGGGCTGCGTCTTGGCGCTGTTGAGGTGGGCGTACAAGAGCACGGCGATGTTGCTGTGCCCGGCCTCGAGCGCGATGGCCACGGCGTTGTTCCCGTCCTGGAAAGGGCAGAGGAGCGTGAAGGAGCGCGGGGCCCGAGCGGGACCAGCGTCCTCGAGCGGGACCAGCGTCCTCGAGCGGGACCTACGCCGGAGACGCCGCAGGCGGGTTGAGCCAGGAGCAGCCTCACGGTCTCGACGCGGCCGTGCTCGCAGGCGCACATGAGCGCCGTGGAGCCCTCCTCGTCCTGCAGGTTCACGTCGGCCCCGCACGCGAGCAGGGCTGCCACCATCTCCTGCCGCCCGTGACTCACAGCCAGCATGAGCGCCGTCTGGCCAGCCTGCAACGCGAGGGACGCTGCCAGGCTGCTCCTATTTGCTGTGGCAGTGCCAGACCCTCTTGTCCCACTGCCCTAGGGAGCTCTGCTGCTGTCCCCACATTCCCAAAGAAGCCATGAGCATCCTGCTTGGACACCAAGCGTGGGTGCAACCAGAGAGCCCTGATGTGATGCCCTCCCCATGTCCTGGCCCTTCCAGGTTTGCAAGCCACAGTCCTGCCCTCATTGTGGAGGCAGGAGGTGACCCTGTCACCGGGAGCTGCTGGGGACAGGGAGTCAAGTCACAGTATGAGTGAACGGAGCCCCTGGCCTGCACCAACCTGGCTCGCCTTGGCGTTGACGTTGCCCATGCTGAAGAGCCTCCTGACCACGTTCATGTCCTCCTCCTGCTCAACCGCCGCGAGCGCTGCCAGCATGAGGGCCGTGTAGCCGGCTTTGTTCTGGTGGTCCACGTTGCAGACCCCTGCGAGGGATGGGCACAGAGGGTGACTTGGGACATCAGTGATGCCTTGTGCCCTCCTCCTGCACCCCAGTCACATCCCCTGATCCCACCCAGGCATCTTGAGGGCTAATTCCCATAGGAAAGCAGAATTGTCCAAGCCCTGCTGTGGCTTCTCGTGGGGATGCGGAGCTGCAAGGAGACCTGGAGCAAAGCGAGGTCCCTGGGGAGAGGAGTAAACAGCAGAGTCGGGGCCACCCACCAGTGTCCAGGAGCAGCCGCACGATGTGGAAGTTGGAGTGGGAGACGCTGTAGTGCAGAGCCGTGTTGCCATTGCCATCTGCCAGGTTGACCATGTTGGCCAGGAGGGCTGGCGAGATCTCGGCGAAGGCCAGGAGGTGGTTGGCGACGGTGTCGGGGACGGACGACTTCTGGCTGGACACACGGAACCACTCCTGGAGCACCAGGCTGCTGCTGGCGAGCTGCACACAGTGAGCAGGGCTGAGATGGCTCCCGGGCACGTGGCCATGTCCCTCCAGCACCCACATCACTCTGAGGGACTCTGCCACCTCCTCCAGCCCCCGTGTCCAAGCAGGAGGAGAGGAGCCCCTTGCTGGGATGCCCCTAGAGGACATCCCTAGTTGAGTCCGTGTGGCTTTTGGGCTACTGGGGGGCTGTTCAGACCGTAGAACTGCTTCTCTGGCAGAAGGTTGTGCGCTCCAAGCTCTGGCTGGAGGCCACCAGACTTGGACCTCAAGCTGGAGCAGAGAACAGGGCCATGGTCTGGAGATGGAGGGCGCTTGGTGAAACTTTTCCGGATGAGCTCTGGGGAGACCAAGCCCCAGCTGTGCCCATCAGCTGAGAGCATCAGCCTGTTTCCTCAGGGAGCTTCCAGGACCCAGGAGACTAATGGGTCAAGCTGTCTCCCCCCAGCACCCCAACTCACCACCTCTTTGCTCTTGGCAGCGCCGGGGTGGCCCAGGTGGCTCTTGATGATGAGACAGGCCTCCCGCATCCTGGGGCTCAGCTCGAACCTGGGGACGTGGACAAGGGGGACAACCCCAGTCCGGGGCCCGTGCGCATCCGCGTGGGGCTGCAGGGTCTCCTCACCCCACCGAAACAGCCCTGGCAAGGAGCACCCTGTGTCCCCCCCATCCCGGCTGCTTTTCCGTCTCTGCAACCATGTGCTGGGCTCAAACACTTCCCACCGGAGCAGAAGCTGCTCCGTGTTCCTGCCCAGAGGGGCTGGGAGGAGCTGCTCTCCTGTCCCTGCTCGGGCAAGAGAGGGCCTGGCTGAAGAACTGAGCCTTATATGGCCCTGCTCGGAGGAGATTTGCCCATTTTTAGGTCGATTTTTTTCCGCCTTTTGTTGGAAAATGCCACAGAATTTATTTTTCAATCCAAATTATCTCCCCCAACAAAAAGGCAGCTGTTGCCTCAGCTCTGTGTTCTCCTTAGGAGCTCTAAAGCACAAGGATTTTTCTTTTCTTTTTTCCTTTTCTTTCTTTCTGACAAACAGTTTCTGTGGGAGGCCGATATGTTTTTCCCAGCGTCCCCACCAAAACGTGGTGAAATCTCTCCGCAGGGAGCCCAAACCTGCTGCCAGAGCCCTCCCTGTGGCAGCCCCATCCTGCACTTACTTCTCCTTCACCTCAATGGGCTCCGTCCCGGCCGCGCCGTTGTCCCCAGCCACGGTCCCCGTGTCCGGGCCGCCCGGCTCGCTCTCGCCTCCCTCATCCGAGGTGTCCATGTCTGCCCGCACGTCGCTGTCGGAGCTGTCGGCCGAAGCCTTCTCGGAGGAGCTGTCTCCTACCTCTTCCTCCTCCTCCTCCTCCTCGCTGGACGTGCTCTCGTACCTGTGTGCGGGAGGAGAGGGGCAGTGCGGGGAGGCCACGGGCGGCCGCCCGCCCCGCTTTGCTCTACGGCACCTACTCGCCGTTGAGCACCCCCACGAACTGCAGGCTCTTCTTGCTGCCTTCGGCCTCGCTCCTGCTCATGCCGTCCCGCTTCTTCATGATGGACTTCAGGGCTCCTGGAGGGACACGGAGGTGCCAGTGGGGAGAGCTCGGCCACCGGCGCTGAGGCCCGGCGCTCCTCGTGACGGGCAGCGCCGCCGTCGCGTTACCCTCCCCGATGCCAACTCACCGGCCACCGCGCTGGGTGCTGCTCTGCCGTCCACCACGGGGTCCTCATGTCCCAGCTCTGCTGTGACCAGGCAGGCGTCCTCCTTCCTTGGGGACCTCTCTTCTCCCCCGAGGT